ACATTTTATAGGTACTATAGCGTCCATCTATGCTACAGTGCTGGACATACCTACTTCGACTGTAGATGTGACACTGGGTTTTTTTGAGCTCGGGGGGTAGGTCGTAGGCAGGGTCCACTCAGTGCTGTGATCGGACTTCTCCTTAGGCATTCGTTGTTGACGATAAAATTGCTGCAGTTGCTGAACGCTGAGTACCCTGAGAAGGAAATAGCGCTGCAAGATTTGTTTGATCATCAGTCGGTAGTATTCGAAATGCTGTTTGCTGGGGGGGCTTTTGGAAGCGTGATGCTAGAGTGCTCCTGTAGTTTCTCAACCACTGTTTTTGGCTGTTTTTAGAAGTTTGTGTAGTTGTGGTATCGTTTTCTTTCCGCGAGTAACTAGTGGAGCGATGGTAAGGTTCTAGTTGTCAGGTTAGGAGAATGGCAGATTTCATAGTCGCAGATAGAGCCGTCTCAGATGAAGAACTTGACTTGTGAGTGTTGGGGGAATATATGCTCGCTCTCCTCAGCTGAGCTCAGGAGTTTCCTCATGAAGTAGGAGTTCATATACGTCGAGAAATGAACAGTAGCATCCCAAAATTTCCTCAAAATTTCTATGCATATCTTCCACTCTGCGTGTGAGTGATGTTGTTTCCGTCAATATCACATTTTTATTCTCTACAGGCACCAGGAGGTCTCCATTTTGCAAAAGTCCTTTCTCGTCAATCCTTCTTCGATGCAGCAAGTGAGGGCTTTCTGGCGGAACATTGTTAACGAGGGATCGTTCGGCAACTCTAGGGTGAAATATTAAAGTTCTTTCAATTGTCACCGTATAGTCTTGCAGGTCCTCGTCACAGGAGCGACAGGTTTTCTCGGTTCACATATACTGGTGAGTCTTCTTAAGAGCAGCCCTCGCATATCTGTATACTGCGTTATTCGGCCCCCTGTGGACAGGAGTAGTTGGCATGACGATGGTGGTAGGGCCGGCTCTTTGAATGGGAGGATGAGTGATGTTGACTTTGTCAGCGTCTCCTCATGCGAGTGCGTCTTCTCCTGCAGCAGCATGCCGTCGTAGGCTATTGGCAACTCTGGAACAATACCATTTACTTGATGGTGATGGTCTCGCCTTGGCTGATGCGAAGGACCGTGTGCACATTCTGGTAGGGTTGAGGTGGACTAGAAGTGTTAATGATTATGTAACTGCCAGGTTGGAGATGTCTCTTTGGAGAGATTTGGAATGCCTTCTGAAGACTACGACTACTGGGCGACTCATGTCGATTGTGTGGTTCATGCTGCTGCACAAGTGAATTTGCTCTATCCCTACCAGGCGCTTTTCAAAGGCAATGTAAGCGGAGCGAAGCGAGAATTATTTTTATTTTATGATGAGTCATCGGTCAGTGGCTGTTATCAATAGTGTGTTCAGGTTCAAGCGTCAGTTCACGTTGCATCGTTCTGTTTGTATAACAAAGTGAAGCCATTGCACTATATCAGCACTGATGCGGTTTTCCCTGCGGGGAAAGGCAGGCATTTCGCCGAGGACTTTTCCATATTCGATGCGGACTCACCAGTTGCTAATGAGTTGAAGAGCGGCTATGCTCAGACTAAGTGGGCGGCTGAGAATCTCATTCATAAGTTCGCGGTGGCCACGGGGCTGCCGGCGGTTGTGTATCGACTTGGAAATCTTGGTGGCTCTGTTGGTCCTGATGGGTTGGCGACTTGGAATACTCGTGACTCTAATCTAGAGTTTGTGAGGACCTGTGTGGAACTGGGAATGGTCCCGACTGAGACTGAGGGGCTTCATCTGGAGCTCACGCCTGTTGATGTGGTGAGCGATTTTATAGTCGATTGTTTGTGGGATATTCGACACACGAATGGAAAAGTTTTCCATCTGATCCAACCAAATGCGATTCCCATGGCCGAGGTCTTCACATGCCTTCGTTCGGCGGGCTACAGAGTTGAGCAGTGTTCCTTGCATGCGTGGCCGACTGAGGGCACATTTATCAATCAAGACACGGTTAAAGAGCTGTGTGGTGATACTAACACTTATGCAGTTGATAACAGCGTCTCGCGCATACCATCTGGGAAGTACTTTGAAGTTGGGCTTGGGACCTTCCAAGAGTATATATGTGGCCTTCGACGAGCTCAACTGCTGCCCTCGGCCCCTGAGGGGCCCCTGTCTGGCATGGTCATCTCACTAGTCGGGCAGCCTTCTTCTGATACTCTACAGAATGTGTTGCAATCCCAGGGAGCAGTGGTGGTCCCTGCTGGTGGTTTTAGAGTACTATATGCGGCTAGTGGTTGCGATGTGGCCGCAGTTGTTCACGACGTTTGTTTGAAAATTTCCGCTTTGAAAGGCGTTAAGGGTGCTATTGTTACAACCCTGGATGATAATGATGTTGGCGAGAGAGGCCTTAATGCGTTCCTGGTGGAGATCTCTCGTGCCATGGGTTTCCCGATGGTGGCTCTGCCGGCTAACAGTTCCATCGACAGTGTAGCACAATATGTCAGTGCAAGCGCTAAACACCAATAGGCTGTAAAGTTCAGCAGTGCACTCCTAATTGTGTCGTCTGTGTCAAGAGCGTTTCAATGAGATTCAGCTGTCGTTGTGTTGTCATGATAGGCTGTGAATCGGTCACGTCCCTTGTGACAGATTCCCACTGTCTGGGGTAGTCAAGAGGACTATCGTGCTCAGTTGTGATACAGGCATTGGAACTCAAGGCAATGCCTGGCAACCCAGCGCTGGTCGACTTTGTGGTGGCAGCGTATGATCGCTTTTGATGGAAAAAGTGGACGATATTGCCATTAGGGACAGGAGTAGGATACTGCGAGTGTGGCGTCTATTGCCGGAGATGGTCATTGTAGAGATTGGAATAACTAGTTGTGTTGCACTGGTGAGAGTTCGTAATGGGATTTACTGGGACGGTCGTTGGAGTTGTCTACGAGGTGAAGGTAAGATAGTGGTGGTCGAGGATGTTTACGTGGTATACCGCAGTGGTACGACATGCCTATATGGTCGGGTCTTCTTTGCCGTGGCCATTGGATACTACTGTCTTGGCCTGTTTTGAACGGTGTGTGGTGGTTCTGTATACTTCGAGGGTCTCTACAGGCTTAGCCAGCCTCGAAGGGGTATCACCAGTGAGTTTTTGGCATCAGAGGAGCCCAGTTTCTGTCCAGTACCTATTTAGGTTCATGACCAACATTACGAACTGCGCTACTTTGTTAATGGGACATGCTTCCCTATTGTAGTGTCGAAGTCACTTGAGATTGACACCAGTTGTAACACTGGGGTTGGTGAAATACTCTTCGTTTAGGAGTGTCTGGAGAGTCGTGTTACGTCACTAGACGACAAAACAGAAGACGCTTCTGCATAGCTATTTCGAATTATCTTTCAATGGTATTCTTCTCACGAGAGGCAGCTTATTCGGGAAGCACAAGATGGTATTCGGCCGACGTGCCGTGCAAAGGGAATAATCAAGGCGAGTGGCTGCCGAGGTCCCTCAGAGGTCTCCCTTGGACGCAGTCTGGGTAAGCCTGTTGTTATTAGAAGCATACAGGCGGTATGCAATGCTTCACTCGGTTCACGTGGTCCATTGTTTAGCCTCTTCGAAGGTGTCAAGGAGACAGTCAATCCGATCGGTGTGTCAAACGGTAGGCGTTGTGAGCACCAGGGTCATGACCTCCAAATCTCCAGGGCATTGGTTCTCACTGCCTCCGACCAAGCCGCGAGCTCCTGGTCCTGTCTGTGGTCCTGTACCGCCCAAAGCACAGCAGCAGCACAGTCTCTGGAAGAACACCCTACAGCCATTAAAGCCATTAAAGACTGTATGTCTCTGAGTACAGGTCGACTTGCTCATCACTCCATTTCAGCCACGAAGTCTGGCGCGCTCTAGTTCGTGCCTTTCATATTTCGGTCGTCATACCAAAGGACATCTGAACCCCGAGACTGTCGCTCGGGCACAGCGTGATGCAGCTGGGCTGAGCACTTGGAAGGCTAGGTGTGTTGTTTAGCGGCTTACACTGGATGCCTTGGAGTATGGATCCTTTCAGGCGATGGCATGCGACATCCACGTCTTTACCAATCCAACTTGTATGAGAATGTTGTGAGGATCGCAAGCTGTTGTGTTGGAGTTGTGGAGGTGTTTGAGGGAAACATCACTACAGTCTATTATGGGACCCTATTTGTCCTTATGGTATTATCGGTTGAAGAGTAATTCCAATTGTTTCAATGAGTTTTTCATCGACTTGAGTCCGTGACCGGTATTTGAAAAGTCATTTTTCGACGAGCTTCCGTCGGCGTTCAATATCACCAATGCTGCGAAAGTTCCACCGAACTGTTATCGCCCACATAGGCTGTCTTTGATAGGCGTGTCGGGGACCGTAGGGCGACTAGCCCCAATTCACTTGATCATGTGCCGAATTCTCAGTGCGCGCAGCAGTAGTCAGGAGTAGTTTACGCTAGTCAGAAGCTATCGGTTAATTCGCACTCGCAACACCACAAAACCCTAGTGGCATGAGGACAAAGCCGACATGGCATGCTAGAACACTAGGATAGAAGTTTTTCAAAAAACCCTGGGGATGAAGACTCGGAGCTCCCCTCTGATGAAGGCGATTCGGATTGACTGTTGCTTACGGAAGAAGAACTTCGCGACATTTGACTTTCACTTTCCTCGACAGATGATCTTGATGGGTTCGAGGATGTGGCGCTCCGAGATGATTCCCTGGAATCACTCCTTGCATGTGTGCCAGAAGACGAGGTGGAATAGGAAGACTCCGATTCATAAGGGTTGTCTTCATCGGACACGGGCTCCTCCGAATGCTGGGCCACAACGAGAGCAATGGCTCGGGGTAGTTCCGCGTCTGGGATGAGCTTCACCTGTAACAGCGTCACGGGGGCTGCCCGCCTATGAGCATCATCTTACCACATGCGCTTGACCTGACAGTTCCACGATTGGGTATACTGGCGCGGAATCTCGTTGAGGAACCCCACTGGGACATTTGATGTCCACCAGTCTACCATCCACGAAAATGTATATACGGCTGTTCAATCCCACTACGAGAGTGACCTGATATGGCGAGTTGAACTAAGAATAGACCAGAGACCTCACCACACTGCCGCCCTGCAAGCCATTCTCGAGGGTTCCACTCCATTCACAATGCCTAGATTTGTGCTCCCAGAAAGGGGAGTACATTCTCCCCCTCAGGCCCACTATGAAAGTGTCCAGAACGTCCTCGGCACTCTTGGCCAAAGGCTTGCCCTGATTAACGTAGATAGAGGGACGCCCATCATCTCCACCTACCGCAGCGATGTCAGTCTTGATCTCATCCGGAGTCGACGCTGTTACTCCGATTGCCAAACCGTCTGGAAAGCCCGGCAAAAGAGTCTCCACTTTAACGGAGAAGAAGAAAGCGAGGAACTGGTCGTGCCGTTTCAACGGCTGAGCTCCCATTGCGATGTTCCCCGTGGACGACTCGGCGCCTTTTCGACGGCTCAAATGTAGGCAGTCCTTGGACACTAGAACGAACCGCCATGGTGACGGGTATAGAAATGATCTGAATGAGATCCCACAAGGCGTTCGGACTTGCCAACGGCACTTGTTGGTTAACGACCTACCTGCAGCCTGATCGAATGTGGGGAATGGTCTCTACTTCATCGCTGGTTGGAGCGTTACGTTCGGTTCGAGTAGGAACCTAACACGGTATACTCTCAGCCGCTAACCACGCCCCAGTCGTAGAGACACACCTCATCACTAACAGGCTGCGTCTCTGGTATGGTCTTTCTCGGATCGTTCAAGCTGGAATGATGTTTGGGAGGATGAGAAGGCTGAGAAGAACCCTCCATTGCAATGTGAATCCTTCCTCGTGGGTACTCACCGACACATCCTTGTTGTATTCACCTGCCTGAGCCCACAAGATAGTCTTCCTTGAATCTTCTGAGCTGGCCCGACGCCGGGGACGATCAGGTGGCTGAGGGTATCACTACGTGGTCATGCTAGCGCTTCGCGGCACTCACCTGATTATCGTCGCGATCCTCAGCCGATTTCGGTCGTGGTACTTTCTCCACATTGTTTCTCGTCCGGCGTTCGTATCTCTGATAGGAATCATCACCTATGCTCATCCTCCCAGACCAACCCTAGAGGAGTTCTTAGACTGAGCTGTTGTTCTTGTTGTAGACTGAGCCATTGTTCCGGTAGAAGACTGAGCCGTTGTTCCTGTTGTCGGCTTGGCGATGTTCAGACTGGATCGACTTCGAGACTTACGATGACCAGAGGGCTGAGAGGAGTCGACGATGACGCTTATCTCTATCAATAAACATCTACGTTGTCGCCAATATCGGGCGTAGAAGGCTGTGTTTTTGCTATCGGTGCCGCTATACGAGACTCCCTCTCTCTCAACCGAAGTGCCTTGGGGGTCTCTGAGCGCTGAGAAGAAACCGACTATCACGCCTGAATTTTCCCATTAGCATTCACCTTCTCGTTCCGACCTCCGAGATCTGGGGCCTGCTCTGTTGAGTATGCGGCGCGCATCGGGCCCACCGGAGACAGTGAACGATTTTGCTGTTGAATGTTTGACAGTATGTCCTTAGTCTGTCGCATTAACCTCCTCATCTCTAAGAGAGACTCTAATTTTTCCTTTCTCATACTCTTCTCTTGTGCCGTTTCCATGAGCCGTTTGTCTCTCGCTTGAGCCTGAGACGTCGATTACCTTTCTAGAACAGAATGCATACCTTACCTCGATTATTGTTCTCTCCAGAGTTCGCAGCTTACGACGTCTTCGTACGAACCGCTGGATCATCACAGCCGCGTTGTTCCTATTGGACAACTCGATGGAGGCAGCCGCTTCCTTGGGTGGTCCAGCGCTCGCTACGAATGATATTGCCCAAATGCCCTTGCCAAGTTCGACCACTGGATATATCCTAGAGGATGTTGGGTCCAATAGCGCAGCACAAGATATGTCCATCCTAGCTTGAAGCTGTCCATCAGCGAAGAGGGCTAGTATCTTTTCCTTCCTGGACAAGAGGAGACCAATACGGGTTGACAGTGCCAAAGGCACAGCAGGATGCTCCACGTCGATGAAATTGGTATTAGGCAATTCACGCAAGTGACATACTTGGGGTATCCTATTGATGCCTTGGGGCGACATGTGATAACCTATGCTCAGTGAGAGGCTTGCCTTCTGTCGTACTGGATTAAAGCGTCTCCCAGGAGGGGCAGTCGATTCAGAAGCGGTGCGTCGTTGTAACATTTTTATCTTTATCTCGAAGTACTTGACACCATCGGTGAATTCTCGGACAGGACCATTCCCCACAACGACTCGGCCGCCAAGTGGAAGCTTCTCATCTTTCCGTTCGTCCAAAGCGATCACGGCCATTTTTCTTTCCGCGAGTAGCCGTATATTTCGACCAGCGACGCCCCACTGACAGCACACTCTGGCCTCCTCGATCTCCTCCTCAACGCTCCGATCGTTCTCGTCTCCGGTGCAAGCCGCTAGCTGATAAGTCGGCGGAGTGAGCGCAGACAGATGTACCAACGTGACTGCTTGGGCGGTGCCGAGGATCTCTACTACTGGCCAGACAGGCGTCGCTGTTATGTCAAAAGGTACTTTAGGGCCTCTTACCATGACTCTGCCATCAACCACTAAGAAAAGTCTATGCCGCACACTACCATGGGCAGGGATGAACACACCTACCCTCCTACCCACAGCAAGGTTTCGAGAGGGAGACCATCCACTAGATATGGTGGTGAAGTGTGGCGTAACCGATTCTGTTACTGATATCTGACCATCGTACCCTACTAGAACTGTACCGGGAAGCGTCCAGGAACCGCTACCGGGTATAGCGGTGAGGTTGTCTGGGTTAGTAGAAGTGAGACCGAGAGTAAGCCCAGCTGGGTCTTCTGGCAGAATAACTTTCGAGTTCGTCTGCATGACGGGGAGACGTTCTATTCTCTTAACTATGACTTCATAATACCAACAATGGGAAAAGGAATGGACAGGGCCATTGCCGATAATAGTAACATTAGTATCTCTCCAGTGGACTGTAGAAGGCTTGTAGGCGAGGTTGGGATCATGTGAATCAACACGCACATTGTCACCGTGAAGCTTAATATCCCATCCAGTGAGGCCAGCGAAAGGATCCCTCGGAGGCCGGAATATATCCAAGGCTCTAGCCGCCGCCATCGGAAGACCCAGCCGGGCCACCTTACGACCCTGAGGTGAGAGCTGAGTATAGAGCCGAGGAACACGGTGGAAACTGCCTACTATTTTCTGCGCTTCAGCCAGGTATTCTAGCTCTTGACGGTCCCTCCATGTTATCATGGGAGACTGTTGCGGGAATTCATTTACTCAAGGAACTATGCGATCTCTCAAAAACGTTTTTCTCGCTCGCCCTCATCGTTTCGCGCTCGCCCATTTGACAACTCTCAAGGAATTTTGACTCTCAAGTCATTACGCGGATAAGAGTAATTAACTTACGTCGACAACACTCGTTTCACTGCAGAGTCCACTGAATTGAGACCAACACGACACAAAATCCTATTGGGGTTATTTTTTAAGCTGCATGAAGCTACTAGCTTGAGTTCTATCTTGCTGATAAATAGCTGACCGTCAGAGAGCACAGATTGTGGTTCACAATCTAACGAAATTTTTGAACCGAGGAGAAGTACTTCTGGTACGCTTCGACATTCTCCTGCCGTTATCTAATTACAGCACTACAACGCGCAATGATCGATAATATATCATTCATTCGGTCGTTAGGCTCAATACTACCTGCGTCTGTCGCTCTGATCGATAAGGCAAGTGCTCGGAGTTTCTTCGTACCACGCTCAGAACTGTCGGTTATAGAAGGGTTCACTAGGAGCGGCGGGCGTGTTGAAGACTTGCCTGAGAAGAAAAAGAAGATAGTTGTATTTACCGACTCTGTCTAGCCCGCTCCTTACTCAGTGCTAAATCTGAACTAACGATCTTGCTAACACCCTCTTCTACAACGGAGTATGGATCTAAGTATTAAATCCATTGGCTTCTGTGACATTCTCTTCATCCACCGGCTCACCAATAAGCGAGACAAGCGTTGCAGGATTGTGTGATTGCAGTATCCACGGTGTGTCATCTTCCACTCGTGGGATGAAGGCTTCTCCTGGGACGAGACACTGGAAAGCTGCTGATGTTCGTCAACTTACCAGGAGACCACAAAGGCAATTTGTTGCCCCGAACTGCCTCTTCTGCTGCTGCGTATTCTAATAGTTGCCAATCTGGCAGAATTTCATTTTGTTGAGCATACTCTCCGCCTGCTGAGCATGATGAACTTAACCGCATGCCATCCTCATTGCTAGGGTACTGTTTGTGATTCATCGTTACATACCTCCGCCTATGTTTGCTCCTTCCATGTATTTCGCTCTCCTGCTAACCACAGGCGATCCTTCCATTCTAGTGTCGCTCGGGTGCTTCGATAAAGGCCCTCGGCTTTTATGTGGTCTTCCTGCCCAGTTCACTCGCGGCATATTACCTACCCTCACAGTTGTTGGAATACTATTCTCCCCATCCCTGTGCGCAACTAAACGTCGAGCCATGACGCTGTGATGGCACTGCGAGAATTTCGCGAACCCTGCGCAACTGCAGAGGGCTCTCGGCTGCACGCCACACACGGTTGGAGGCACTACCACCAGATGTACTTGAAGTATTCTCTTGTTAAATGCGACCACCGATCCGGCCCCATGCCCGTCCCACCTCCCCAAAGCTAGCTCCACTCTTTTCATGGCTTCTCCTCTAGCTAGGGGTTCCCTCTGCGAGCTGGTTATGCAGAAGACTCTATATAGCCTTGCGGTAAATTGTCTCCAACGTTCACTTCCTCACAAATTCTATTTTTCTCGTTCGCTCCCTCTTCCGTCAGCTGTTGAGGGCGAATTAACGCTTTAGCCTCCATCGCCGCGTGAGCTGTCTCCATATGGCCCATGGATGCACTTGTCACTAGACCGTTACGATTAGCCACGCCACAGACAGACAGATAACTCCCTACCTCCCTGTCTAGCCCTTTCTGACCCCCTAACGCTATCGTCCGAGATTGCTCGACGAAAGAACCATGAAATTTCGAAAGATTGATTCTGCTGCGTTGTTGTACCAGGGTCTTGCTGCAACGGACTGTCGCTTCTCCTCCTCTCGAGCTAGAGCCAGAGGACATTCGTGATGGAAGGCACCCAGTATCTCCTCCTTTCTCCACGAAACCTCAAAATGCTCCCGTGCACTTTGCCCAAATTTCCAATCAAGTTCACGAAGGCAAACTTCTAAATATGCCTCTTTGTGACAAAGAGGACAAAGACTTTGGACAAAGACTTTGTCCAGCACACTGATATAAACCAGCTATGCATTCCTTGGCGTAACTAATCAATTTGTCCCTTGTGGTGCATGGCGGCAATATCACCGTCTTCGGTATCCTTTCTGCAGCCTCATCAGGGTGAAACTTGCACCTTATCGACGTGATACCTTCCAGGCTCTGTCCCGTTCCAGTAACTATCCCCCTCGCGGAATCAGAGAGAAAATGTGAAACCCTTCGCACCGCGTTATCACCGCAGAGGCTAGATATCAAACTGCGTAGCCTTCCTAGCAGCCATGCCACTGCTCCCTCAGGGAGCCTCCCTGCGACTCAGTCTCGGTTATTCCGGCGATCAATGGGACAAGGCTCCATCTATACGCCCCTCCACTCCTCGTGTCCAAGCTTAGCGTACATGCTCCAATCAGAAGCACACCGCCGCAGCCCCTCAAACTGCGGAAGTGCCCGTCAGCTCCAAGACATATTCCGATCTCAAAAGGGCTAGGAGGTTCACCCCGCCACTTTGTTGGCAAATTCTCACCGAATAAATTGTAAATATTCACAATGCATGATTTGCTCAGAACACACGCCGTCACTGTTTGCCTGCCACTATGACTGCTGGTTATCTCTTGACCCAGAGAATATAGCTCACCAAGCAAGCGACAATTGATTCGATTGTCGACACTTGTACTATGATTTAGATTTAATTTACAGAGATTCGTTAATATATCGACCACCTCACACTCCCCTTACATTCGCCAGTACTTTCATTGGTTTGGTGTGCTGAGCTTGAGCCGCTATTTCATGTTTAATCCTGGGCGGGAGAATCCACTTCTTGCTGCTACTGGTCTCGACCTTCCCGCTTCCGTGCCCTCGATTTCCAACACAGACGTCTATCATCTGCCCATCATTGTGGATAACAGCCTTAATCTGAAACGAGTGAAATTCGATTCCATTAAATTCGGTGAACTGAATAGTGAAGTGGATGGCTACTAATGCAGAGTCTGCATTGCGGCCTATCAAGAGGCATACTCCGTGGAGGCCATTAATGCATTCAGTCAAATCTGATCTGAATCCAATCATCAAATTGAGCCAACTAGGTGGAATCAATTCTAATGATTAGGTTTTTATATGATTATTAGATGGGCTTACTTTGAACTCACACTCTTCATGGGTCTTACAAGGATATATCCTGTATGGAGGTACCTCGACTTTCTTGGATATTGACGAACACCACAGACGAACATCGAATAGCAGGTGAAGCTCATCTCGAAGGCGTCTGGTCCACACATCGCTCGTCATATCATGTTGATTCAGCGTCAGAGTCCGCTGGGGTAATCCAAATTCGATTCTCTTAGACATTTACTGAACAATGATGAATGTTCCTAGCTTCGAAGTGAAAAGACCGGCCCTGTAAACGTGATATTAGCTAGAAGTAATAAATCGACTTCTGTCAAGTTCGTGGAAACCGCCTATGGTTAACGGCTCCTTGACTATCCACCAATTCTCTTCGTTGATTATTCTCGCGGGCGAGCAAGATTGTTCCTTGACTATTCCCTGACATCCTTGAGTATTTGCAGTCACCCAGACTGTTGCCGTGGCGTGCGTGCCGCAGTGACAGGAGTCAGTCCACCGGTGCCCGCTCGTGGAGTAGTCGTCCGCGACCTGTACTGCCTTCATTCATTACAACTTAAGAAACGTCGTCTTACCTTGAACTTGACCTTGGACGTCTGAGTGTCTCCTGGAGGCATTCATACCTCCTTATAGAATCGGTATCCCTTCTTTCTTCTTCCTGTTGGTACTGCTGATGGCGCGTGTGATGGTCTAGCTCGGTACACTCGGACATTCGGAGTTTTCTGATAAAACTGTGGTGAACAATGAGGAAGAGAAGGAGGAGGACTGACTCTTCATTGATGAGGGGTTACTACACACTATTGCGCTCCCTGGGGTGGGGCGGCTATGCCACAGGTCCGAGATATGTCTAAGTATAATAATTTTCGCCGCTAATGTGACCGGTTCTGGTCAAGGGGCCGATATGCCATCTATTGACTATAGAGAAGGTTTCTTTTGGCAAGTTAAATTGAGGTAAGGAGATGACATAGCAGCAGCTTTATCGGAATCGGCTGTATTACGGCGAAGTCAATTGTACCCAGACGTCTCTTAGAGCTATGGCATAGCCACCCCACCCGACTAATCCTGCGCGGAATTGAGATTCAACCAAATCTTGCAATCTTGCGTTTCCTCAACGGTGGTGACGCGTCTCGGACAGAACGTAAACGTGCTCTTCATTAGTCCTCTATCCTTCTTGTAGTAGAATGGCTGAAGGAGGAGACAGTGGCTACGGTCTCTACCAGGAAGATCAAGATGATACCCTTGATTGTGAGTTGTGGCATTGTTCGGCACTACTCGAGTGATGCAGCACTCTCAGGGACGGGTCTACTGGCCCTCTTCATTTACTGGGGTGTGTCTGTCGGCTACTACACGATATTCCACTCGCTCATTTTCGTTGGCGGCACCGATTACCGTTGGGTACTGCTAGGAGTATGGTTAGGTAGTAAGGAGGGTGTTGACCTGAGAATGATCCCAAGTGCCCCCGTAGGGACCATTACCATAACACTGATTTTAGTAGCCGTTTGGGCACCAAAGAGGAGGAAGCTTCGTGAAGAGGTAAAGGCTGTTTTGAGCCGCGAAATGCTAGTCCTGGGTTCAGGCGGGGCTCGGGCGTCGAGTCACTATTGCCGAGGCCTTGAGATTGAAAGAACTGGAGCAGCTACACGGGGAATGATAATGTCGCCATCATCAATGGCAGGTCAACAAAGCATACAACACGCTGAATCCAGTAATTCGTACACATGTGCTGTAGACGATGTGTAGCTGTTGCGTTCATTAGAGCTGTATTATGCGTGGGGGTAGTCTCTTCTTTACTTTCTACTCTTTCCTTATGACATTTGATTCAGCCTTCCCCATGGAAGCACCTTTGGCAGTGAAGCCACTGCAAGTTGTCTTACTTGCCCAAGAGGTAGTACCTCGGTAGAAGTAATCAGCCACTATCGGGAGTTGAGCTCGCACAACTCTGAGTGTGAAACTTCTCGCAGGGGAGAGTTTAGTGACAGCTCTTGTGAGATTTTGCTTCAGATTATAGAAGCTAAACTTTCTGCTGTGGAAGAAGACATTACTTACTTAGAGAAAAAACGAGCCTGTTACGTCCAGCAGAGGTAGGAAGCGTACCGTTGACGAGTTGCTTATTCGGCCCCCCCATTGCCAGGCTGGAGATAGCATGTGAACTGCAGAGAAGGCAAATGCTGGCTATGCCTATTGGTCAGCTCCCTTTCGAGCATATAGTTCAGTTCCTCACTGATAGAGACGTGGCGAGACTATCCGCTACTAGTCGTCATTACCGTGTGGCGTGCCGCGACCCTATTAAAGGGAAATTGATGGTCCCTCACATTGCCCATGGTGGAACCAGTTCTGCATCCTTTGGTCGCACCATGAAGGCTGTGAGCCGACTGTGTCTGCCAAGCATCGAGAGCATGAAACTAGATGCCCGGAAATCAGGGGCGCATGGCCTTCTCTCGGCACTGTCTCGCCTAAGTGCGGGTTCGGTATCGAATCTTCGGACCTTACGGGTCAACTGCGCTGCTGAGAGGGAGTTCTTTGTTGACAATCTGCTGGAGTTCTGCACTGAGGTGATGGCACCCAACCAGCTGGAGTCACTCCATATTAGCGGCCTCCGAAGCTTCGATGCCTTGTGCGAAATTCTGCGAGCCCATAGCGCCTCTCTCAAGACGGTGCGAGCGGACTATTTTGTAGCGGGACACGAGACGGCGTTCGAGAAGGAGGCCCTACCTATAATGCCGAAGCTTACATCATTAGCTCTTGATGTGGCAGATGTGACGACGATATCGGCGTCATTCGCACTGGATATGCTGAACGCTATTGAGCGACCTGAAATGGTGAGCGAGTGGTACTCAGCGGTTTTTCAGTTGATACCCGCAGGTTACGCGATTGTATCTTCCTCACGTTGAAATCAGTGGAGACAGTCACGATGTTAGTGCTGTAACTAAAACACTTAGTCGCTTCACTTCTTTGAAGCAACTAGTAAGCAGTGAGACTCTCATATTGTGTGGAGTTCGTTCCGGGATAGGTCCTGAGATTCGGCTTCATGCCAGTTAGTGTCGAGAAGCTCATCAGGATGCGGCAGATGGACTTGGGACACCTTCCAGCTGTCTGCATATCCGATCACTTCATTGTCGCCATGGAGAAATGGGCACCCTGGTGGCCTAGCATTGCTGAGGTTGGTCCCCCTCTGCTTACCTTAGGACTAACCATGGTCGTGTAGGTGTGGGAGAAGGAGGATGGGATTACTGGACTGTCGGTATTTCACGAGCAGATCGACTTTGAGGCTCTCGGCACTTCGGCGGCTCGAGAGTGGTCCAAACTTAGTCCCGAGGAACAGCAAATGTGGGAGAAGAAGATCGCTCCTACGGTTAAGCGCCTCTTCGTGGAAGCTCGAGCGAAAGCACCACCACGAGAGGTCCCACGGCTTGGCAGAAGCCAACAGTGTGTTGCTTCTGGATGACGAATTCTTCCAGTGTCCTTTTAACTCATCATATTCTTGGCTTGCCGCCTTATGTATAATATCATTGATCGATACTAGTCAGCATCTGCTTGAAGGCCTTTGGGCTCGCTGTGAGTAATGTCAGATTGTCTTATCTTTCGGAAGCGCACGATTAAGCCGCTCCGTTGTTTGTTGTTGCTGGTTGCGATGATCATAGTCTTGGCCTTGGCGATTGTTGCTCAGTTGCCTCCTACGTACAATACAGGCATTCTGAATGCCATTATTTCTGTTCATATACACATCGTTGTCGTCCGAATTCTTATATCCGCTATGGTAAACTAGAGCTTATCAGCAACATATTGTGGATAATTCCCGCATGGCTTGAGTATTTGAGTTAAGGCAATCTCGTCGTGCTCCTACCGCTAGTTTCACTCATACAGGAGTAGTAGTGGTACTTACGTGTTTTGAGGGGACTCAAGCTGCTTGGCATGGTATTACGTTGTAAGGGACTCCTTTAGCTTGTTACAGTGGTTGAGGCACGTTCCTCCATGCGCTGATTGTTCAGTGTCTGTTAGCGGCTTTTAGCCCGGCCGTTTGAGGGCGCTATCCTTGTGAACTAGTCCGTAGGCTCACTACTTCGAGAAGTTGTGACTTCAATGCAAGTTGTGTGATGAGGATGAGGTAGATGCACTCAGTCGTTTATGCGGTATAGTGTTTGGAAGTCTTGTTGCTGTAGTTGATTATTCTGTCCTAGTTGATAATAATACTTGTCCAAGATAACAATATCAATACATGATGTCTCCGCGTAAAAATACTCTACAACTGCCGCCGCCGCCGCTGCCGTCTGATACGTTACGGGTGCGAAGTATGAGTGACGCTACTTCAACCTCTGAACAGCTCTTACGAGGAGTCCCTCTAGGAGTCGTTGTATCAAGATGGTCCTTATTTCGTAGTCCTGAAGCTCATCGGGACATGTATGACTTGTCTGAGCCCGTTGAGAATTTGGATGCTTTCATCAGCCACTCGTGGGCTGGCAATCCAATATGGAAACACATCTCGCTGGTAACAGTTGTCTATCTCAGGGAGGGGTATATTGCTATGCTGACTGTTCTTCTCCCTCTTTCAATTGGTGTTTATTTTCTACCCTCGTACCAGGAGTTGGCCTCTGTCTTTGTCGAGCTCATCGGTGTGGCCGCTATGTGTTTGGGAGTGGTGTACGGTTACCGCTTCGCGAGGAAAAAGTCTAGTAGGAAAGTATTTCTCGATAAGTGTTGTATACCACAGGATGATCCAGTAGCTAAGCAAAGGGGTATATGCAGTATCAGTGTCTTTATCCATCACTCTAATAAGCTGGTGATCCTCTGGACCCCAGACTACTTCTCGAGACTCTGGTGCGTCTTCGAAGTGGCGTCCTTCATGCGAACACATAGCCCGGATGCAATAATCTTAGTATCTTCACTACAGAGTCGGTTTTGTATTTCGGTCACTGCTTGCGAAGTTGCACTTCTGGTAACCGTCATCATTACTGATTTCTTGTTTAAAATCCACCCATTATCACTGTATGGTCCTCTGGTTGTACTGATCATTATAGAGGTGGTAATCACTTTAATAATCTGTTTCGAAGTCATATCTGGCTTTGTTCCGGCGAAGGCAAAACTCAACAAGCAAGTCGAAGCCTTCCGTGTTGAAGAAGCACAGTGTAGTCTCCCAGAAGATACTCGTGTACTGCGTCAAACCATTGCCCGATGGTATGGTTCGGAAGCTCAATTCGAGGATAGTCTAAGGACTAACTGGCCACGACTAGGAGCCACTCAAGTTCCTGAGTGGTCTTTGAGTGGTAGAAGTCTTGGAATAGTGATATTCCCTTATGTAATTATTTCGGCACCACGAATAGCCTCTCTTATATCTTCGCCTACGATAGCTCCTAACGACAACTGGTTGCTCTATGTTCGAGACGTGCTCATCGCATGCATTATGTTGGCTTGTCGTACACCCTTGCTAGCGTTTGTTGCTTGCAAGCTCACATCCTCGGCTAAGAGGCGTGGAATATCCAACTGGCCTGTGGTTATCGTGGTTATATGCTTTGGTTTGGTATACGATATGGCAGAGATAGTTGGAGGAGGCGTTGCGTTGTTCGATTCGAACCTAGCAACACAGCTCAAGCTTCCCGAACCCTATGGATGGGTATTCGTCATCCCAGCCTTCATTTGTGCCTTCGCCGTCTGGTGGACTTACCGTGGTCATGCGATTCGGTTACGCCGGAGACGTCCTCAGAAATCGGTCAGCTCGGAAAGCTCCATTTGATGAGCCTCTTTGGTCGCTTTTGTGGTTTTCTGTCATTGATTATATTTTCTCATCGAATAACTCATATCACTCCGCTCCCTTCCGGATTCGGGTGGATGTGGGATCGTCCAGGCACGTGGTGGCTCGCAGCTTACGATGTGGTGGGACGAGAACGTTCTCCTGCTGGAAATGGTGCCGGAGCCAAGCATTTTCAACTAAGCAAAATCGTTCCCTCTGGGCAGTGAGGTTTGCACATTTATAGTTCAATTATTTTCTACCATTCCACACAGTTACCATCGGAATGATTCGACATTTTGCACGAGTCGCTGTATCTTCGTTCCCTTGACGATTGCGTTAAATTAACGCCGAAGCCGGTATGCTATTTGGAGCATCGATTTGGGATGATGAACTTCTTTGTTGCGGGAAGGGTGTATCTGATTCAGCCCCAAAGCCTGTATGGAGGCTTCAACTCGACTCTAGCATTTCACCTCAGACCTGCGTAAGGTGGCCAGGCCGGGAGTGAATTCCTCTATTCTGATTCGCCTCTTTATAGTGTATAGTGTGAGTGATTGTACTCGATGTAGATCTGTCGCGATTCGGGTCGAGACGGAGAGGGTCACTCCGAATTTGGGGAAGATGATACTCGACGATCTTTGTACTCTAATCACATCTTGTACATGTTGTGGTCAATAAAGGACGAGCGTCGCTCTGAAGGTGCCTCTGAAGGCTCGTTCGTTCTCGATATCGACGTCAGCCTAGAGACGGTTAGTCTGTCGTGAGGATGGTATCACTCTGAGTGGAGCTCCTTGGAAGCTCATCAATCCCCCTCCGTCGTTGATAGAGCCATTATCAAGCTACATTCCTTGATACTTCAAGTTCTATGTCCGCCGTCAGTGCTACACCGTCAGACCAACGAGAAGCAACTCTTCGGACTCTCCAGCGTATATCGGACTTGCTCGATACAGGTCTCACTCCTCGTCAGCTACGACTATGTGTGGCACTGTTGGAAACTCGGGTGAGTTGAAGTCTTCTGGCTGGTTTCCAAAGTTCGGATCTGATCTCAGATTGTTAATCCCGAAGCACTAGCTCATGTAATTACCGAGATTAGGAGAGAGTGTGGTACAGTTGGAGATGGCGAGAACGATGGAGTAGCCCGAGGAAACGTTGCACGTGTTGATGATTAACTGTTGCTTAATTGATTTCTCTGAGTGGACAACTTATCGCGTTATGTGGAACAGTCAGACTCCGCTACTGCGACATAGGTGAGGCAAATGACCATCGTGGGAAGATTCTGACCAGTCAACGCTCAATACGTGTTGTACATGAGATTCACTTTCACGGCATTACTGAGAGGACAGGCCTTGGGAGAAGAAGTCAAGCACCTTCGGTTTATCCTCGCCTAGAGCACAAATCCCACTGAAATCCTCGATGTCGGGGTGGAAAAGCTCCCGTGCCTCACACTAGGGGCCTATCAAAATGCCTCACGTCCCGAGCCAGTTCTTGGAAAACCCCATTTCGAGAGCTCGGACGAAAATGGCTCGTCGAAAACTCCGAGCATTTTCCCGAGTCCGAGTAACCCTATTTTCCCACTTCACTTCAGTTGAGGATGGTGAATGCCTGCTTGAGGCAGATAGGGTACTCATCCGACACCTTATTATTAAATGGCATGGTCCTCTCGAAGCCTTTGAAGAGTATATCCGTGGTCACAAGGAATATATAGCACGAGTCGTCCTTGGACTGTCAGTTCCCTTACCCTCGCTATCATATCTCTCCCCTTTGTTATAGCTTGTGTCGGGGGTCTGGTCACTATTTGTTGTTCTCCCTCGGTTGATATACCCTGGTGGAGGACTTTCCGGTGTTTCCTATCAACTCTGATTCTTCTGCTCTGTCGAATGCCTCTTTTGGTCTTTGTGGCTTATGCTTGCTTCGAGCAGAGAAGGAAGCCCCGATGGATCGAGGCCGTCTCGATAGTCTCACTCGCGGTACTCTACGAGATCCTCGTGCTGCTCACGGGTGGTATCATGTTGTTCGACTCCGCTTTGATTGATGCAGTTCTTCCGAGTCGAATCCCTGGTTCACGATCGTTATACTTCTATTGGCATTGTTCAACACCTTCGTGCTTTACCGGAGGAATCTCTCAATTGCAGTGCGGTGTCATGCCAAGCTTCGTAAATGAATACTGAGTATCATTACCGCCACTTATTCAATGTATTTTTGCTTCCCCTGTTGATGGGCTCTATGTCCGTCCTCCCCGATGACTGCTCAGGATCGCTCATATCTGGTCCGTCCTCATTGTCGACCCCTACTCTTACATCATATCTATACTTCCTATAATTCGTGTGTAGCTCAAGCTAACGATCAATGCTTGTTACTGCCGCTCATAGGCTCACGTTGCTCGGCTTACAAGTTATCTTCTGGACTGTTCGAGCTTTGCTATGGTCATTGGTCTGACTACAGCAATCGTGCTGCCTATTGTTTAGCTTAATCAATGTTTGTTGTGTTGCTTTTTCATAGTCCACATCGGTACGTCATGAATTTAGTCGTTGTGACACGACTTGATTTCTCAGCAATGCCAAATTAAGACCCTTCGGGATGTTGGCGGCCTCCAACTATCTTCTTCCTCTTCTTTTGGTTCATACGGAATCTGCCAGTAATGTCTGTAATGTTTATTCACAAATCAATATCTTGGAATTACCGACACTATGTTTTCATAGAGGCACAGTGATGGCGACCCACTCCTCCAAGTGGAGAATAAGGAACTTCGCAACTCAACGTATCGATGTACGAAACGAATTTATTTTACAATCATCACAGCAGTAGTCGCTTCCCTAGCTCTTTTACAGCAGAATCGAAGTGCTTACACCGCACTTGTCGGCCGCCGGTCCACTTCAATCCATACAGGGGATTCATTTGGACCTTTACGAAGAGTAGATGAACCTGCGGGCGATTATCGTGGATGTGTAACGGTTGAGGTGGACGTTTTACCTCTTGAAAAAACGTTCGGATGCTTTGCGTGTCCTGTTCTAATTGTTGTGGGGAACGTATAGATGTATGCCGATGTAGGAGTAGAAAGCGTACATTCGAGGGACCGACGAACCTTAATCGGAATAACTACACGACAAGTTGACGGTGAGGGGCTTCATACGCCGATATGAGGAAGTCATTGAAGCGGTCGATCATTGGGAAAAAGGTGTCACTCGTGTTCCATATCGCTTCGTCAATTACGTCCAGGGAGGAGTGCATCACAAACTCATCCAAATGTGGTGAATCGTCGCGACGACCCGCAGACGAACTCAGATCAGCCGAGTACCTAGGAAGAGTATTAGGCGGAGCGACGCAGGGCTAGTCTGTTACAGTGGCAAGTCGTCCTTTCCATCGACTATCATGAAGAGGTTAATATCAGCCACTCGATCATTACGTCCCGGTGGCGGCGGAGGTGCGCCATGATGGGACATTAGGAACACTATAGTGGAGGAATACCTTCCCGTACCATACACAATACAAGTTGATAACAAACGTCAACATGAGTAGCTCATTCCTACACAGACTACAACGGATTCTGACCGCGACAAGCATCGATGCTTCCACGTATTCATCGTGAGTATACCTCAAACCGGTTGGTTGTCAGTCAGCCTCCTCACTGAATTCACGTCGACGACCCGCTGAGAGATTACACGGCAACCCGGTGATTAGAGATCCCACCACTATCTCTTGATAAACTCAAAGGAACTTTAGCACAGCCTTATCGTCCTCAACGGCTCTCCCAGCCGAAACTGTTGGAATATTGGCAATCCTTCCAAGGCAGTTGGAGAAGGGCCCCTCCCCCCTAGAACAGAATCAATACTAAACTCAACACCACGAAGATCTGCTGATATCAATATTTCCTCACAGCTTCATACGGCTGGTCACTTCTTAATGGAACCCGGCACATCCGCTCGCGTCTTTTTCAGTTTCTTGAACTTCTGCAGATTCTTGCATCTTTGAGGGATTAGTTCGTGAAAGTCCAAAGGGTTCTTCTTGTTCCTTCCGGAATCTAACAAAGAGTCCCTACGACGATACTCTACCCCCAGTGGAAAAAAGTATGCACACGGTTGGTGGCACTACGAAAATTCGGTGGAAAATTTCGGAAATTTCTTGTTGATTCCATACATTGCTATCCGTCGTAAGAATTTTACTAAATTTCGTAGTTCAAATTTTCATATTGTCAAAAACACATATAAATCCTCATGTGCATATTTTCCAATCCAGACTCCCTCGGCAACTACCTATGTTCTTATCCTTCCACTTACTCCTCTTCAACGTAATAGGCCTGTTACCAACGTATCTACCACCAAGCCCCAATACTACTCATCCCTCCACGATGGGATACTACTTGTGGTTCATCTCCTTCAACGCCTTAATCATGTCTTCGGGATCGCGAAAGCTCAAGAAACCAAAGCCTGGAATAATACCAAAAATGCACAAACATGACTTGCTTCGCTCCGCTAGACCTTTGCTTTTCCCCGATCGTTTATCCCTAACGATCTTGGCCATCTGCAAACTAGAGTACCTGAGGGGTTCTCGCTGAGCCCAAGAGGACGAGGTGGGGTCGGCACTCACTGTTTGAAGGAGCTCAACAACAACTCATCCGTTACCTCGTTACCCAAGTCGCCACAGAATATCCTGAAGAAATATATGAGGTCACAACAGAGGAAAGACGGCGGACTACCGGAAATCATCGCTGGGCCATTCTGATAGGGTTGGATCGGCCCATATCTTCCCTCCGGCTCTTCGTAGCTGGCCCTTGGCTTTCACTTTATGCTTGCCTGAAAATTAATTGTAGTCGTGGTGGTTGCATAAACATTACTTCTCTTCTGAGGTGCGACGACTCCTGCTGGGACGCCGTTAAGAGTCACCCCTGATCCACCGACGTTAAAGCCACCAGGTAAGCCCATAAAGGGTGGCGGAGGGATCTGAGGCCACCAACAGCTCAACTACACACATAGCAGCAACACTTACAAATCCGCCGGGCCCCGGTGGGGGCATTGGAGGCGGAAACATCCCCCTAGGTGGCGGAATGTTCATTGCTAACCAAGAATACCACTGAATCACTGTTCATACCACTCCTTCCCCACATCCTCAACCCAGGACGAGTATCAAAGATTCGAGAGACTAGTTTCACAGCGTATGATGGAGGAAACGCTTCATGACTTTCAACATGCTCTCCAAAGCCCTCTCAGTGAGGCCTAGTACCTATCCCATCCACATGAGCCCTCAAGGGCCTCCCAACTCTCCCCACCTTCACATCACCCGAGCCCTGCAGACCAGGCTTATCCGAGGGAGCCCTAAGAGGCCACCACCAGCTTCCAGGAAGGCCTCCGAAATCGACTTACCCTCCCTTGAAATACAACCCCGTCTGCATTACTGCTACCAACACCTCCGCGTACAGCTTCACTATCTGCTGGAGACCCCCACAGAATGACGTCTTATCATGAGGATCACATCTGAGATACGTCTCCATTCTCTCACAGGAGATACCAATCAGGCCCACGTGAGGACTCTGTGTATAGCCGTCGTAGAGGACAGTAGAGCCAAGCGGGAGGCAGTGCCCTCCAGCTCGTTGACGTCCATCGCCCTGCTCACCAAAGCCATCAGCTCATCTAACCACTTCGACACCACCACACAGCCTGCCACATCGTGTCACACTCGAGTCATCACTCAGCCCTTACATGACTGCCCAGATACGAACATATGAACAACCAATTGATGGCACATAAGATTGCCTTCTTCCACCTTACAGAGGGTTACAGGCGGGCGAGCGCTTTTCGCACAGCCCTACGGCGACCCTAAGACTGTTGGTGTCCACTATCCCCTCAGGATGAACTCTCATAGCCTCTCTTGATAGGGCCATAGCCACTGCACTGCACCCCATAGGGCACGCGGGGAAGAATGTTCGAACCTAACTTGCAATCTTGCCAAATCTTGCCATTCCTTAACGCTGGTCATACCAAGACCTCCACTTGACCAACACTAAGGGAGCTCCTTCGAGCCACCTCCAGAGCTACATCGGACATCGCCATCAGACTCACCATCCGCTCGTCCCGTTCAACCTTGAATGACCATGACATCGACACTGCCGCACTGTGTAGATTTCTACTAGATATTCCTCCATGAGCAGGCGTAGGAGCATGTCAGCAGGGAACCTATCCCTCTCGTTATGGACTGCACTGAGCTCCGAAAGGACTTGGAAGACGTCAGTGAGAAGGTCGGGAGAGCGCAGCGGTAGAGCTTGGAAAATGCCTGGGAATAAAGGACCCTGGGAGATGCTCATCGTAGATGTCCACGCTTACATTGCCAAACACGGTGCATTGTTAAGTACTCAGTGGATGAGTTATGAGGCCCTCCATGGACCATATACCGCCACGTGTGATACGCCAGACAGACATCAGTTCCAACTTCGTCAAGTATCTTCTTGTGCATGCGTGCAAGATATTCCATACCACTCCTCTGTCAAATACCATCATCGCCAAGGCCGCGACAGTCCAATCTTCCTCCCTGTACTTCTCTACTGCTGCTATAACCTCTCCCATCCTCCTATGGCACTGAAACCTACGACCATCCCTCCCCTTCGAGAAGGCCCCCTGTCCACCTCGGCCCTTCTAAGGTACTCTGCAAACCCCATCGATTCACCCGTCACTCCAGTGTGGTCCCCGAGACGCTCTGCAGTGACGAATCTACACCAGTAGCTCGGCCACCGACCACCAGTCCCAGCAGCTACTGATAGACGTATTCAGGAAAAGCTATGGTCTTCTGTGAGAAGTCGCCGACAACACTGAGGGCCTCCACCGTCCAGCCATCCATAAGGCTATGGCTGAGCTCCCGAGTCTGGTCCAAACTCATGGTCTCATCGAGGGGCGGCGAGGTGTCAAACACCTACAGCCACCCCTCGAGGGTCAAGCCGAAGACGAAGGGTCTACTACAGCTTTCACAGAGGGCCTCCTCATCATCCACGGCAAGGGCTCGGGGACAGCCCTTACCGAGTCGCCACGCTTGTCGTTCAGCTTACGGCAGAATGCATTGACTATACTACTGATACCTACTGTCCAGCAGCCGCAGCCATCAACCCACTACTACAAGCCTCTACCTCCCTCCTTCATCGCCATAAGCCTGAGTTGGAAAGCCAACTGGAGAGAGGCTACCCTTGGTCTCACCTCTGCTGGAGCTCATCAGGAGCGACCGCCTTGAAGCCAATAGCGTCCCTGTAGCGTCGAGAGACGTACTTGTGGGTCAATGACTTGGACACATGCGATAACTGATGGATTATTTCATGGCGCGCGGTCACAGATGAACAATAACAGGTCCTTCCTTCACTCTACCTCCAACCCCTTCTCCGAGGCCTCCTCCCATTGAGGAGGGCCACCCATAGAACCACTCCTACCCCGAACAACATTACGTTCCATCAACTCTAGCGTCTTGCCCAGTCTGCGATGCACTACCAAAGTGGCACGTAGGTCCTCCCTAGCACAGGATCAACTACGACAAACCTTCCTCGCCACTACTACAAGGTCATCCTAGCAGTCTCCTCCATACTCCGGAAAGACCTCTTGCATGCCTCTAGCGCACTATTCTGATCAGCCGCCTTGGACGACATAATTGCCAGCTCTAACTGTAGGCCCACGTTAACCTGTGAGCCCCAGGAGCACCTAGAACCTACCAAAATCCCCTACTTCATTAGCATGCTTATGTAGCTTGCGCATGCGTGCAAGCTCCAACTTCAGATCCAAATTCGTCCTCGCAGTCTCCTCAGAAGCCTCATCACCGTCAACTGAGTCATCGCTGAGCCACAGCATTTCCAATATGTTGTTAACTACTCCCTCTAGCATCCCCAGTCTGCCCGAATTCAGCAAGCCTCTCTTGAAGGCGCTTCGTCAATGCACTGTATAGAGCACTGGCCAGCCGACGCCCCCTCAAAGGTACTACTCCATCTTCCTCCTCTCCTTTTCCCAAGCCTCATTAACCTCCTCCACTCTTTGAGTGTGATATGCCTACTATAACTCCCATCATCATCAGTTGCTGCACCCGTGCTACATTGAGTTCATCCTCGAGCTTCCTTAACCGGGCACGCTCTCGAGGAGCTTCTTCAGCCATCACTCTCTTCAACTCCTCCCGAGCGGCAAGAGCCAGCTCCGCCAAGTACCTGAGGACCACCAAAGGAGCCGAATCACTTGTTCAATGTTAATGTTATAATCAATGTTGGGGTTTGACGGTATAAGACTACCACAGGAGACCACAGCCTACAATATGAAGCCACTGATCATGCTACCGAGTCCTCCCTACCTCCTTACTACCTATACCGATCCTCCACCTCTTCATTGCCCTGGTGTATACCTCTTAGCAATGCCGTCAATGCCTTGGACACCTCAGCCACGGCCGCCGGACCCTCTATGGAGTCAACACAGTCCCTTATGTGGGTCAGCCGCATGTACGCCTCTCTATCACATTGTCTTCACAAAAGGCAGCCCCTGTGCGGCCCCACCTATGTATATCACCTAGCCCCTTATCACTCAAGTCCAGTGGGGACTGGTGTCGTCTTGGAAGCTCCCGCGACCTGTTGGGCTCCACAGGTAGCCACAA